TTATGTAAACAAAAACTTATTTTGGATGCGATTAATCATTTGACAGCACTAATATATTGAATGGTTAAGCTTGTCTTCCACTAAAACTCACTTACACATTAAGAGAAAATGTATTTAAATGTCACTTTAGGGGATATTTTGTAGAACTTTAAAATATATATATATTTTTTTTTTTTGATAATTTGGTGAACATCACATGGTAACAGGGGTTAGCACAAATTTTTTTAAACTGTTAAAAAAATTATGTAAATTATTTCATAATTTAAAATAGCTTTTTAGTATGTAGAATTTAATATATAATATTATTATTATTAGCATTTTATTTGTATTATTTTGGACATTTTAAATTATTACACAGCATGATTTTAAATATTTTGGGTCAGGAAGAAATATATACATATATATATATAATATAAATATACATTATATATATACACTATAAAAAGATATGGATATTTTCTGTATTTCAAACTAGAGACCTAAGGAGCTGAATTGTATATTATAAGCTGCTGTAAAGCGGCATGATTGTGACTGATTCATATACTGTACGTGTGAAATGCTGTACTGTACATCTGAGTGATGGTTATGAATAACAGATCGAGGGAAGCAGATGTTGAGCTCAATGACGTGATTATTTTGATGAGATGAAGGACTTTATGTGGAGAGTTTCATATGCAGTGTATGTTTTAATCTAACACTTTGCGATCATAATAAATTATTGCTGTTTCACTGTCATAAATTATATGATTAATATGTAGAATAATTAAATATAGGTGGTTTTGTCGATTAAACATGTTGAGCTTATTCTATTTTTTTAAGCAGACATTCAGTGAAAAAAGGAAGACTGCAGCTTTAATAACTTACAAAATCAATGTAACACATGATTCGTAACAGATTTTACAGTGTGTTTTTGGACTATTGAGGGAAATGTGGAGTATCTGACTTGTCACTTTAGGATCTTTCTCCAGGGTCAAAGGTCACGTGATAAAATGTGATTATTTTGATTTCCTTTGCTCTCTGAACCGATCTAAGTGATGTGTGTAAATATATGAATTCATAATATTTAATGAAGGCAAAGACTCAAGATGATATTCTTTTCTCTCTCTTTTTTTCTCACGAGAATTGAAAAGAAAAATCCTACTACAGAACATTTATATGAATGACTAACCTCAGATTTGTTGATGTTTTTCATTATATCTGAACACAAAATGATGATATAATTATATACAGGGTAGTATGTATGCTTGGATGTTTTAAAATGCAGTTGATATATGCTTTTAGATGCGGGACAGGACATTGTTTAGTCGTCTGTTTTCATCACACGGGATACATTGGTCAGATTGTGCTGAATTATAGAAATCTCATCCCACATGATCATCAAAACTATAACCAATCACATGACTGGGACTTTCCATTGACTTCTGCTGTTTAATACTGGCCTAATGATATATTATATTATATTATATTATATTATATTATATTATATTATATTATTAGACCCAAATCTTCAAGCAAAACATTATTATGTAAGAAATTATTATATTACCTATTATAGTTTGTCATGTTATATAGAGCCAAAGCCCTCATGCAATTTGTATATTATATTATATTTATTATATTATTTAGAGCCAAAATGCTTAAGCAACCTTTTTCTTTTTGAACATTTTCATGAAGACATCACTATATAACATATTTTATTTCGTTTCATTTAGTTTAATTTCAATTTCATTTCATTTTCATTTCAATTTCATTTCAATTTCATTTCGTTTCATTTCGATTTCATTTAATTTCAATTTCATTTCATTTTCATTTCGATTTCAATTTCATTTCAATTTCATTTCAATTCGTTTCATTTCGATTTCATTTAATTTCAATTTAATTTAATTTAAATTTAATTTAATTTCAATTTCATTTAAATTCATTTCATTTCATTTCATTTAATTTTATTTAGTTTTATTTAGTTTTGTTATGGACCCGAAACCCTCACACAAGTGTTTTTGCATTTGTAAATTTTCATGAAAACATTATTCTGTGTGTTAATGAAGTTGTTTCCACGTAATGTTGCTGATTTCAGCTTTTCCAGTAGTTGTGGGACATTTGGTGAAATCTGACACCTGTATTTGACCTTGATCTCGGATGTTTGATTTTATTCTTAAATGAAATCATTAACATGTTTTAACACCAGCTGCATTCAATCATTAAAGAATAAATCATTATCATTTCCATTTATTTTAATATTAACAGTCATTTTAATCCATAAAATTGGGCTATAACACAGATGATTAGACACAAAGCAGGAATTTAGGAGCAGAACAAATCCAGACCTGTTGAACCCAGCCTTGCATTCGCGCTCTCTCTCTCTCTGTCTCTCTCTGTCTCTCTCTCTCTGTCTCTCTCGCTCTGTCTCTCTCTCTCTCTCTCTCTCTCTCTCTCTCTC